GATTCACCAGGATGCAGGTTTGGAAGTATTTTTTCGAGAGGAAAAGAACGGACAGAGCAAGGGACGAACGGAAGTACAGTAAAATGAAGCGGATGCTGTTCATCTGCATCTGCCTGTAAAACTCAACAGAAAAAACCTTTATGGAAATGAAGGTCTGGCATTGCAAAGCAGGCGCTATGGTGGACGGTGGTGGTGGCGTGATGTTGTGTGGTGGTGGTGGTGGTGGTAGTGGTGGTAGTGGTAGAGGTGGTAGTGGTGGTGGTGAGAGTGGTGGTGGTAGTGGTGGTGGTAGTAGTCAGAGGGCAAGTGGTGACAACCTTACTGCTTCTTGCATATCAATGATATGTAATTTCTGGAATATTCATGCGGAACTAAAATTCGAAAGTCTAGGTAAATTGGTTATGTGAATTAATACTTTAGAATCTGGTCCACATTAATGTTACTTGCTGGTAAAAAAATTGTTTTCCAGCTCACAGTTTATTCTAGCTAAAGTTTAACGCAAAAAATGTCAAGAAATCATTGTGCAATCCGAATGAATGAAATTAAATTTTGGCAGCTTTTAGGTAAAGCACAATAATACAATTGAGCAAAAAAATCTGCAGGAGCGTTCTCATCTAACATTCAAGAAACGTCCGTTATTAGGTTACGGCCATCATTTTAGAACATCGGTGCAAGCCACGCAACCAAACTGCCGAGGATATTCTAAAATTTCCATATCCGCGAATGTAAAAAACACCAAAACGGCCGTATTCCGAAGCGAGGCCCCAAAACACATTTCTTATAGAAATGAGAACCTTTCTAAGGACTTACTGTTTCTCTCGGGCTAAAACCGGCCTGCCTTAAAAGGATTGAAAGTCAGTTAATGCAACCAAGCGTTTAAACCACATTGAAATGAGCTCCACAATTTTTGTTAATGTACCATTTGAAATTGATGAATCATTTAAATGAGAAGCTTATTTTTCCCGAAATGTTATTTTATTTATAGAAAATAACCTATGCGGGTTTTGAGACGGAAAAAAGTGAATTAATCGATTTTTAAGAACCAGTAAAGTATAATTTATTATGTAGGTAAATTTTCAAATTAAATATCGTCACACAAAATATGAATTCATTTCATTAGATATGTGAGATTTTTTATATTTCACACGAAGAATTATTCATTAAATACCGGATCAAAAACCGTGATCTTGGCGGTCATATTGGTGGCCGCTGGTTACATCATCAGTCTAAATTTTTTAGCCATTAACTTCAAGTTAATAAAACTGTTATTAAGAAATGCGATTGAGAAAAAACCACGTTATTTAGAAAATAAGAAAAGGTTTTGGTGCTCCCCTGTAGTAAGGCTGTTAAATATAATGATGGAACTAATGCAATTACAACTCGGCGTACCCGAGACGATCGCAAAAAAGTTTTCGAAATCATTCATAATAATTTATTAATTGTCATCCACGAGTCTTGCATAAGTAAGGCAAGAGACAATCGTTTGAAATAAATATTTCCCGATACTCTTATCAATTCCCAAGGATAAATATTGACACCCGCGTTTTCTCAGTCAATCCCATGCTCTTGCACACACAATTAGCGCTCTATCTTTATTTGACATAATTTTCTTTATGAAGAAACATAGCTGAAACAATACCGGAGAAGCAGTACGAAAGTTAATGGCAAACTTCCAAGCAATTCTTGCCAGGAAGCAAGTTTAGCATTCATTGCACAGGCAAAAGTTTGCGACACGCACAAGATTTTCCAGCCGTGGAATTGGAAGGAATCGCGACAACCAAGTTTATTTCCAGATTAAAGATAAAAGTATCATGTTTGTTTGGGAATATGATGATTTTATGCTGGCATAGCGATAGCATTAGAATTTGGAAATAGTCATTTCTCTAGCAGCAGGCAGTAGCTGTCCGTTTATTTTTGGTTGACGAGAATCTCCAGGATATTTACGAAGACGAATTTCTGAGCTACAGGCATTAAAAAAAACTTGAAAGAGCTTCAGAGCGACGGTACCGCGTCCAACAGCCATGCCAATAATATTGTGCAGGGGTCATCGTGGCGACATAACAGCCTGTTTGTCAGCTGGCTTCCGCTCCTGACTTCTGAACCTCTCAATATACATAATAAATCATCATATGCAAAAATAAAATGCGTTGAGTAAATAATTTTAAGCCAAAAAGATTTACCAACAATTTTTGATCGAATTGGCTTGCAGGAATTATTAAAAAATTAGACAATCAAAGAGTATGGCTTGGCTTCCCTGTTTCTCGTCAATTCTCCCTAGTACATCTCTTCTTTGTATAAAAAAAATTTTCGTCCTTGTGAAGTCGACGTGTTCAACAAATCACGCCTGGATCGTTGTTATGAAGAAGAAAATTGTCAAATTAATGGAATATCATTAGAAACAAATCTTGAAGAGTTTTCTCATACACTTGAGTGTGATTTGCGTTGCAACAAGTTAAATCCCCAACTTATATTATTTTTCAGAACATCGGATATTATTTCATTAGCAATGTAAGCAGAATCTTAAATTAGTATTCTAGAGATTACTGGGATAATATTCGGTGTTTTAGGATTTATTCAAGTCAAATCATTTGGAAGTTTTAACAACACAACAACAAAATTGCTTTTGCGTTCAAAGTGCACACATTTTGTAAGTTTTTCCAATAACTGTAAGATTGGAGTTATTTTCGTCGTAAAATGTTTGTATTGGCATACGTTAAAATGAGTGTTTTCCTCATCATTCGTGATACAAAAATTCTACATCTGTATCCTTTTATTCTCGAAAAAACATGAAACCAAAGAAGCAACAACAGCGCAAGCGACAGCCATCATCTAATAAATGCAAAGGTTTAGAATGAATAGACGATTAAGTAGTAACATTTTTATGTATACATTGCGAAACAAGATGTCGGAAAACTGATTCTCCACTTCGATCACTGGTTATCAAACATTCATAATAACAACTATAATAATCAAATGATGGGTAATTGGGCATCATTAACGCTGATAAAGGTGACAACAGCATAATTTCACTTAACAAAATATTTAATGACACTAACTACCCTAATTTGATTCGGCCGGAGATAAAAATTGAAAAAAACACTCAGAAATTACAGAAAGACTTGTTTGATTACTATATGAGATACACGAAAAAGCGCCCCTCACATCAGATGGAAAATGAGTTATACAAAGACATGGCAAGAGAAAACATTATTGAAATAAAGACTATTGAATAATATTAACTTAAAACATATGACTGTACCAAGAAAGCCAGACTTATAAAATGAGTTTTTTTCGATTTTTGAACAAGGCAGTGACCATGAAAGTGTGGTTGTAATCATCGTGCGGGCTATGACATTCATGGCGCTTGCGTGAGATTGGGTATTTGTGAGGGAACTTAAATTTTATTTATTGATTTGATTTTTATTTATTTTATTTATCTATTGTGTGATCAGAATAGTTAAAATATTTTAATTTTGATTTTTGAATACCTGCAATGATTTTTTAGATCAATTCGTAAATTTTGGTTCAATATCAAAACTTTGATTTGAAAAAGTTAGTAAAATCTGGATTGAGATAATACAAATTGATTAGATGGATAAGATCATTAGATTTCTTTAATAAAAATTTTGAACAGATGAAATTGATTCCCCTTGAAATATATTTATTTTTTATGATATTTTGAAAGCATCATTTAATTTACAGACATAAACGTTTATAGAATAATTCTACAAGTGAATTTTGAAATCGTTTATTAAATTACACATCAAAACCTGGAATGTTAAGTCTACGGGAAATGCTCCTGACATTTAAGTATCTCTTTTCAACGTCATATATGATATATATGCAGTAGAATATTTCTTGTGTTCCGCAATATAGCTAGTGCTCATCATTTGATGATATCATTAATGTCATGTTACATAAAGGTAATGAAGATCAAATGTCAAATATATAGATTTGTAAAGTCCTTTGGATATCTTCTGCCATGTCTTCAGATTAATGAGATGTTGAAGTTTTCAAGCACTTCATATTATATAATAATAGCATGTGTTTCCTATTCATAAAAAGATGCTAAGAAAGAAAACATCAAGAAAACAGCAAGATTTAATCACATTTATAACAAATAAACTATTAATCAAAGCTTAATTAAAATCTTTAGTGTGATTACGCATTCTTGAGCAACAACTCAGCTCCTTTGTTGACACAATCGACATTTCCTGTAGCAAGGACACTCCAAATTTTACTTAAAATTTATATGATTTTAATTCTGACATGCACACGTATTTTTGTTCAACTTCCAATAATATTTTGATGACTCCAGAGAATCTTAAATAGGTAAATTACCTACATTGTTATAGGCATTATGAAAATTTTAAGCCATAGAGTTATTTTATATTGTTCCAACATGCATAGTTAACTTACTCGTTCACTATAGTCTTCTAAAAAATGGATAGTTTGTTATTAGATTGAACAATTTTTTCCTTCGAATAGATGATATAAAAAAATAATAACGTTGGGGTTTTCATTGAATAATAATGAGTAATCTTGATATTCTTCATAACGGAAAGAAGGTGGATTAAGTTAATTATTAAAAAACGTCAGAATTAATAAATAATACGCATATTAATTTTTCCAATTGCATTTTTTCTAAGTTATAAATGCAGCATTCAATGCTCCAGTCACTAACGATAGGTTCATAAAGTAAATATATACAATATTAACAATAACAAACATGGATCTCATGCCGCAATATATCACTAAAACAATAGAAGTAATGCCCTTTGTATGAGTTTCAAGCCCAATTTCCATCCGTCCGTAAGATACATAAAAGAAATCGTGAGTTGATATGAAATCAAGGATCTTCCAAATTTCGAAGGCAGCTTTGTAAGCTTGTTGAGTTTTGGAAAAAATCCCGATTTTTTATATATCTTTGTATCGGATGAAAATTGAATTTGGAGCTTACACAAAAGCCATTTTATCTATTTTTTCCTTAGTCACAAAACTCAATAAAACATTTCAGTATCGACCAATAAATTTGATTTCTAATTAATTGAGTCCTGAGTAAGACGTTTCCCTTTACTTCACTTGATTTAAAATAGAATCGAGTAAAAATTACATGTTCAAACACGGAATATCTTAAATGTAGCCCGGTAATTCGTAGCTATTTATATTTTACATTTCAACTTTGGAAAATTTGGAATTTGTTCGAAATCACATTCAATTTAATACAATGCAGGACACTCAGCAATTGCTTGAAATATCTTACGTTAAAAGACGAATTAAAGGCATACAATATTTCTACTATGGGCATACTTGCTACATCGCTCTATGAGTGAAATTCACATACCTGTGTCTATGAAAAGTGTCGGAATTAGCAATATAGAATATTTCTCACCGTTACCATACCATGCTCTTGCTATGTCAGGAATTGAACTTTGATTTACTCAATTTAATGTTTTCACAACTGGTTTACTTGTGTTCTACCTTAATGATTAATATTTAGTTGTACGGGATATTAAATATATTACATCTTGTATTTATCTAAATTTGAATACAAATAAGTGCGAATATCCAAGCTTTGATTGAGATATTTCTTAATTACCAACTGATCATATTTTTGATTTTAGTAAATGTGTTTATACTTTTTCTGCTTTATTATCAAAGTAACCACAAGCTTTTGGCTTTTCTGTTTACTTACCCAGACGAAGAAGAGGATATACTATAATTAAATGCATAACACGCTGCACTCAAGCTTCGATTTCTACCGCCAGCTGTGTGCTGCGAGACGATGCACGTAGATTATTGATCCACTCAAAACATAAAAAATGTATGACAAAAAATTTTATTATTCAAAGAATATTTTCAAGAACAGTCGCTTAACGAGTATTGAATTATTGAATTATAAGCATTTCTTCTTTTACCAATCATTATGTTGTATATTCTAAAATTTACTATGTTTTTGTTATTATGCTTCAATCATTGTATCATATTTTCAAATTGGAAGTCATTGGATCATTTCAAATTTAAATGATCAAGCAAGAGTTTGGCCAAATAATAATGGTAATAAATAAAGTAAGGATAGCTATTCACACAAAATGGTCTATTTACTGACCTGTGTAATACATTTGACGAGTCATGCCGGGACACTCTCCTCTCTGGCCGGAGTTATGCCCCGCAATCTTTCTTGCTCCGCTCTTAGATCTCGGGCCAGTGAAGTCTATATTGGTTCTCAAGGGTCGGTGGTAGAGCAGCTGCGTCGGTCGGAAATTGTTAACCATCTTAGCCTTGGGTGAGCGCGCCGTGCCTTGATGCAGCTTCCGCAGCGTTTTCAACTGCAGTTGAAAACAGTTTAAATGTCAAACGGATTTGCTTAAAAGAAATTGATAAATTCTCGTAACTCCTCCATTTTTTATTTAACCATTAAATTTACTATGCGCGGAGAATTTTTACTAAGCTATGGTCATGTCGAAAAGAGAATTTAATGTTGAAGATTTTGTAAAGATCTATTTACAGTTTTGTAAAAAGTCATTTGGTTCAGTCGGTATCTGAACGTTAAAAGATTCACATGACGACAGTTTATTCATACAACAGACGGTATATAAAAGCTTCAGTGAGATGCAGGCGGTCCGCAGACTCGAGCGCCAGGCGCACTCGCATGAATTTTCAATCGACCAGAAAATTCCAAACCAAAGCTGTTAACCTAATGCGCCGGAAGAGGCCTTCCTCTGCTTCGTACGTATACGTTCTTAAGGATAAATTGCATTGGATGGAACAGAGACCTTGGTGGTTTTAGATCAGGCAAGGCGAAGCTCAACATTGGTGTGTAGAGAATTGTGCGTTTTTTAGCTGTTTGTAATTTCTACTGGAAATCGACAAGTGTGATTTCATGTAAATAACCATGAGCTCTATTTTAAACAAGAATAATTCTGTAACTGCTGAAAAATTTTGAATTTTTCACGGGAAATTTAAAACATCATACAGCGCTGATATTTTAGTTTGAAATAGTTTTTTAGAGCTATCGATGTTGTGCATTGATGAACTGTTAATTAATTGCGTCGACAGAATCACTAATTTTTCGAAGTTGAGGCAGGAGACGAGCTCATTGTAATTACGCAGTCTGCTCCATCATTGTAAAGTTGATGTTGGTGAACTGATGCGTAACGCAGATCATGTAATGAATTTTTATTACCAAATTTAGGTGCGGTCAACTTAAAAAATGTTGAATTGTTCACCGGAAAATTTTAGCTTCCAAATTGCATGCAAAATGAGTAAAAGTTTTAAAAACCCTAAATTGCAGTGTTATTTAACCATTCATAATTGCCTTGTACTTAAACAGTATCAAATCGTCGTTAGTCTGATGAATGAATTGATAACTGAGACCTGTGGCGGAGACACTTACATGAAGTAATAAGATGTGATGGAATGTTTCCCTTTCTTAATACCATTTTAATCCCTAAAGGTTATGAATCGAATCACCAATCAAGTGCACACTGTGATTAACCACGTGCAAATAAGTCCCTGGTCTGACCTGTGCCGGCGTAGCATAGATGGGCTTGTTAAGAACAAGCCACGTGACGGTCTCGTGGCAGGGGGGCTGTGTCAGCGAACCTTCATAGGTGAAATAGAAGTCGGTGGGGGGCAACAGCCCCTGCACCGACAGCGAGCTGATCCACGTGTACGATCCGGCAAAGCGGATCTTCTCGATCGCGTCCGTCAAAATCCGCAATTCAGGGTTGATGTTCTCCGTGCCAACCTGCGATGTTCAATTCGTTAAGTATTTTCGGATCTCAACACCAGATTGCGTTGGTCTTGAATTCTGAAAGCACTTGGGTAATTTTCAATTTATTTGAATTCAATATTCACCTCATAGTGAATTAAATAATAAATTGTTCCAAAAATACAGTTACATAATTTGATTTGCTTCTAATACGTTCTAGTACTAGTCCCTCTGTTATTAGATTTGATTGTCAAATTTGTTTTTTGACAGATAAAGAACTTCAATGACGAATCCGCATTGCGGTCTTTTCGATCGCGAGAATGGATGGTAATTATTTATTCGTATGCATAGTTAAGGTATAAAAAAGATCCTGATAGATACCACCATAGATGCTACATTTTAGTTATTACTGCTAAGGACTAATGCAAAAGTTCATAATTGAAAAGTCACTATAAGTTCTCTTCGCCTAAATTTTGGTCACACTCATATAACCAACTGGCAGAACATAGTACTTCTTCGAATGTGTGATAAAAAATCGTTACATTGATCTTGTGATTAAAAGCTAACAATTTAGATGCATTCATCTTTACCCAATATCCACGAAATTGGGCGATTTTCCTTCATCCAAAACTGCGGTTGAAATTTTTAAATTTATAAAGTAGCAAAATATGAAGTCAGAAGCTAAATGCTTTCAAATTCAGAAAACAAACAGGTTGTGTAGCGGCTTTTCTTAATCAAGGTCTGAGGATGGAAATACTCTTTAATAAACGTCAATGAAGCGATCAGCCACAAACGAGGCGGCTTCCACCTCCATTTGCCTCTAACCCCTGAGATTTATCATGAATTTTATAGGCTTGCTTTGTAAGATAATTTGGCTCGAGACATCTATTTCTCGACGTAATGAAGTGCAGACACGGCAAAGTAACGTCGCCTCTTTAAGAGCTCTTAATTAAACCAGCACTAAAACGACATGCAAATGACGCTGCGCATAGTGAAACACCCGAGGTTACGGCGAAATGCTCAGTGGGTTACGGCTCTGAACTTACGGGGTTAGTGCGTGTTAAAACCGCCGGTTAGGAGCCAACAACCCGTGCCAGCGACGGCTCTTTGGGCGCGGGCTAACAAGAAAAACTCTAAGACACGTCGGCTCCTCTCACTTCTTGTCTTCTTTAACTCAGCTGATAAATTATATAAACATCTTTTCTCTTGGGGAAGAGGCCAATTTCTGTTATATCAAAACAATTATTGATGAATCCACGCCATTCAAAGACAGATTAAATTATTCGCTACCTGAATTTTGAATAAATAGAGAACTGTGGTGAGCACAGTTGTTCTGAGGGCTTAATTATGATCTGATTTTGAGAGTAAATCACAGAAAATATATTATTCTTTCCTTAGTGTTAAGTTGGCTTTATTTAACTTTTTATTAACGTCAAAATAACCGTAATGCTCAGTAACTATTCCATAGCTTCTGAATCTTGCAACACCTTGTTATGGTCTCTGAATTTTTTAGTGAATAAAATTTCAATGATGATGGACAAGTTTGAGTCACCATGTAGTCTACTTGTCTTAAGAACTGAGAACAGAGTCTCAACAAATAAATTTGGATTTACCAGTCATTCATGATTTTAGCACATTTTATTTTTTTTAAATGTCTAACTACGCTGAGGAAAGCTGCTTTTTCTTTGTTGTAAATTGAATTTCAAGCCTTCTTCTCCTTCCGACCCAGAGCTCATTTGTTTTAATTTCCTGCGTGAAAGTTCCGGCCAAGTCAGAAAAATAATTTCAGCGTCATTTTCGTTCAGCGCGGCCTAACTGCGACAAAATTCCTGAGCGCCAAAAGCCGTGGGTTTTCCTTGGGAACGCAACCCGGCGACATCTTAGCAAAGTGACCTGGTCATTTGCGCGTAACGAATGACCTCCGTACACGAACCGTTTGCTTACGAATCCGTTTTTCGAACGAATTCTTGGGTTTTCGAACGGCTGCTAATGCCGGTCTAGAATGGTTACCCTCTACTTAATTAAACGTGTTAAATAAAATTTGTTTTAATGGAGTTGGATGTTGACAACAGATTTGTCAGATGAGAAACGCAAATAAAAACAGATCAACGAGAAATTTTAGCTTTATTGCGTGTTTCTAATCCTACTTAATTGCATGTATATCTTCTGAATAATAAGAATTTGGCAAAAAAAAATTCTTGATTTTAAAAACGTTTTTTATCTGAAACAATTAATCAAGCAATGGAGAAATTTCATCACCTTTGAATGTACACGTAAAATACCGAACGAAATTTTTAAGCTGTCTCTTATTTATTTTTTTATTTTTGTTACTCGGTCTGCAGTTCGTCTTGCGCACATTTCACTTCACTATCGCTTAATAAAATATGAAGTTTCGCAAAAACTCGCCCGCAGCTCGGGTTTCAATAAAGGCTCCAACACCCTTTATATAAAAACTATAGATGCCTCTAAAGCGACCAGAACCAACCAATGGCCGTGAAGCCCAACTCATGAATACAGAGTCCCAAAAAGCCTTTAATTTTATAGGAGAAATGCGGTAACGTTTGATGCTAAGCTGCATTGGTGAGAGCTTTGACGGAGCTTGTGCTCGTGCCAAGCTATTTACTGAATTTAACCACAATATATTGCATTAATATTCAAGTCTCAATAGTCGTAGATTCCAAATTAATATTCGTGATCATCATTTTTCACTTCACCAGTACGAAGAAAAATATGTTATTCTTCTTTTGAATTTTGAAGAGAGTTTCAATAGAGCGTAGAGATCTCATCGAATGTCATTTAGGAATTTGTAACTTGAATTTCAGAGGAAATTGAGTCTGCTTTGGTAAATTCCTAATTCAAAAAATGAGCTCTAGGCAAGAACGGTAAAAGACAATCTTACACAACAAAACCATTTTTGGGAACTAAAAATTAAATGATTCTACGTTGCTTATTGCGCATCACGTTGAAGCTCATTTAAGTTTCAAGCTGATGACATTTTTGTTGCATTCTGGATTTAAAAGTTTATCATGTTCTCTAAGGTCCNATTTAAGGTCCTGATCAGCTTTTCAGTCTCAGTTTTATTACAAATAGTTTCATAGATAATTCATCTGCTATTTGGCTTTTTAAAAATTTATATATTAATTATTGGACCAAAAAACTGAGACTATTATTGGGCAAAAAACTAAAGCGATAAGACTCAACAGTGTTGTAGCGGATGTTTGACTCTAAACAAATTCTGAGTTTCGTATATATTGAAGTTGATTCTGGATTGGGCTTCAAAAATAGAATGAAGGTGAACATTAATTTATTTTTACCCACAGTACTTGACAATCATCTTCAGTTATGAAAATCGCGAAATTTAAAAAAGACTAAAACGTCAACTGAGATAAAAACAAATAGAATATATGTGAAAATTTTTTGAACAATGCCTTTAAAATCACCCTCGTTCCATGAATGAAAAATTTCACAATAATTTCGAACTAGCTACCTCATAAACACAATTCAATATTACCAACTAATTTAATTTTGAGAAAAACTAGCCTGTGTTCGAAAAATACGCGATTACAAATCAATCATTTGCAAATTCATCCTATGTTAAATATTGTAAATTTTGTAAAAAATTTTCAAAAAACTAAAAAAAATTAAAATATATTTTTTTTAATTTTCTAAAAAATTTAGAAAAAAATTTCAAAAAAGGCGCTTCGAAGCCCAATACACCGGACATGAATTGCAAGGCGTATTAAATAAGATACATTCACCTGCACCAAGACGGACACGACGACTACGCCGTGCGCTCGCGCCGCCGCGTCGCTCGAGTTCCTGAAGAGCTGAGAGTTGAAAGCCAGGATCTGGACCTGAACAATAAAACATCGTTGAATACAATGAAATTTAAATAAAAAGTGAGTAAAGAAAATTACAATGAAAAAATTCATGGTATTTGTTGTTTAACTTAATAGTGAATCCATTCGAAATTCTTCAGCTTTGAAATTCCGCAACTACCTAGTTCTGTCAGAGCCTTAATGCGATTAAACTAGGTGCTATAAAAATACAAGGGGAAATGAAACAAGTTGGTTTTAGTTCGTACAATTAAAGAATTATAATTAGCGCTATCTAATGTCGATAGGACTACTTCGTATGTGCATCATCACAAAAGTTTTATTGATAACTAGTGTATAATTTGTCGATTGTCATTTCACATTCTGCAAGTAGAGTTTAAAAAAAATTTAACTCAGTTCTCACTGCAGTGAGTGACAGAGAGCGCATTTTCTCGTCGACGAAAACTTGAGGTCACGGACGGACGGACAGACGGACAGACAGACGGACATGGCGAGCACAATAGCGCATTTTTTCCATAAATGAGAAAATGCGCTAAAAAACAGTAGCTGATCAGGCCGAGGCAAGAAACTGAATAAATATATATCACCATACGATAAAGTTTGCAAAGCTTATGAGTAAAATAAAGCTCCTACAAATTGAGAATATAATTTAAAATCAAACATTCAATGAATTCGAACCAAATGAGAAGGTAGAATCCTTCGATTGGTTACAGAACACGGCTGGGATTATTTTCCTACACGAGCTTTAGATTACGTCTTTTTCATGTCATTAAGGAATCTATTGCAGCACTTAACCAAGGCAATCCAATTCCTTTACGTGGAATGCTTCTAAAAGGAGATCCGGTATCCTTTTCACGGGTCATTTGAATTTCCCATCGGTGTTCAGGGTAAGCTCTGCGAAAGGTTTTCAATAGCAATTAACTTCACCTGCGTGGCCGATAGATGTTTGGAGTCGATTTGTAATAGACGCCGCAAAGGCGTTCCGATTGCTTTGAGTGCCGGATAAAACTTTTTACCTTCACTCTCCACGAAATTAAAAGAATGAAGCTATTTTAGAAATTATTTACGAAGGTTTATTTGTTTATTAAATTTTCGTGTATACTAAAAATACTGCAAAGATAATACTTTATAATCACATCACATCATACACTTTACATAACATCATGTCATTTGGTTGCATTGTCCCCTCGTTTAGTTTTGTTAAAAATATTTTTACAGTCCAAGCCATAGTTATAAAAAATTTAAATGTGTTTGTGCTTCACTCGTAGTATTTCTACCATGCCATGGATCTAAAAATGTAAAAAGGATTTTAGTGACAATTTGCTGGGCAGGAAAAATTCAATTTTCTTCTGGTGTAAATCCCACATGCTGGCTTTTGGCGCATTGTTTCCTTTTACTGGCTCTGTCATCAGATTATAACATCAACATTCAACAGTATTTTGAGCTTTGTTTCAGTTCGTGATCAAACAATCACGTCTTCTTCCTTCATTTGAACTCAAGATGTCGGGCTCGCTCCAGTCGCGTAAGCCATTTCATTGTTAACAATTTTGTCTTGCGTAAGAAAAATATACTTGAATCATGCAATCAATTTGAATTGCATAATTATCAAAAAATTCAATAAATTGTCTCAAAAATAATTAACTGATGCCATTCATAAATTAATAGTAAATTCATAAGCTAGGATTCATTCGCGTAAACCGTTGAATTTTGGAATCAATTCTCAGTGAAATGCGACTGAGTCCAGGTCTGATCCAGTATCTCTGCGCACAGCGTTGTTTGAGCGGCAGTTTTACGAGGACCCGACCCACCATCCATCAGACAGCCCGGCTTCGCTGCCGTCAGGGGGTAACGACTTGTTTGCTGCACACGGTATGGTCGCAAAACACCCTTACTGATGCGCTGTAATTGCTGCACTGCACTTCATACCGTGACTGTACATCACGCTAGCCTTGCAGGCTGAGTGCATATCCGCCCATGAGTCCGGATTCATATCCACCGTGATTAACGGATTGGCTAATTCAGCTTGTACTGCGAAATATTCCTACTTTTTTACGGTAGATATTGTAAAAAAATGTAATTTAAAGCTTTCAAGTCCCGAATTCTACCACAGTGAAAAATTAAAAAGGAGATCTAACTACTATTGTCGAAACTATACCTATTCGCTGTGAATTTGAATTAGATTACAACTTCTCTCCGCTAAATACTTCACAAAGATTCAGCTTTGTAGAAAATTACTCATAGAAACCTTCCCAAAAAAGATCTGTTTTCTTTATTTGTGGAAACTATCAAATGCCATATAATTTACTATAAAATTACATCAAAAAACCACCAACATGACCTGTTCAACAACTGCATTACGACCCTAACCCTGATGCATAAATAAGCTGCGTGATATGTTTAAATTAGCATTCAAGAATACTGCCACTAAATCCGACAGTAAACGATCGTTTAGAAATATTTACTGTTATGGTGACTCATAAGTGTTCGTTCATTACGGAAAGGAGAGCTTTGTTCGAGGAAAACAATGCTTGTCCAGAGATGTTTTCAAATTGTGATGCAGGCTTTGTCTTAGTCACAGAGAGCCGCATTTGTTATAGTATTCTATTATGATAATTTTAAAAGATTTCTGCTTATTTTCTTATATTTTTCCTTTAAAACAATTATAATTTTATGAGAACTGGAGACACAGTTTAATAAATATCCAGTGCGTACAACTCGTAGGCGCATGAGACCTGAGTAATATAGATACATGTATGTGGATGTTAAATATGAGAAATATTTATTGCATCAGAGTGACATATGTGAAAAGCAGGGTTGCCGCACAAGTGTTATGACCATTATTTGCGACAAACTAACGTGGTCAATCAAGCTAATATTAACTGAAATATTATGACGGTTTTTTTACCTATTTATTATTAAAAAGTTAGCGAACTGCATGTGCATGTCATAATTTCAATATCACTTAATAATTTATGTTAGCCATCCATTAAATGAAAAACATGCTATTACTTTGGAAAAAAAATAGATGACACATATGAATCCATGTGTTGTTTGAAGTAAGTTACATGCTGAAAAAAAACATACTATCAAAAACTACTTTACATTCACTCGACATTTTACCATGCGTGCCGTATATGCATTGTTTGATAGCAATCAATTATAACCCACGTCTAATTTACGATCGCTGTACAAATCGGCGGGTGCCAAGCACCTAATCGTTCATTTTAAACGATCACGGTTGCTAGACCAGCAGTGTAATACATTGATTTTAGTCTCGTTTTTAGGATGAATAACATGGAAGGGATGACGAAAAATATGGCAGGTTCTTGACATGCTGCATCGAGCGAACTTGACACAGGAAATCACTTTTTTAGGCCAAAAATAACTTTAACTTATGTTTGTGCCACAATTGTGTTTCATCTACAGATTTGTCGTTAATTTTTTCATCTACTCTTGAATGTTTTAGATTTTTAAAGTTAATGTTATAATCTATTTTTATTTTTTAAATTTTTATTCACATTTTTTATGTTTTTAGTACATCGTATATTTTCTGCTAGAAGCTAGTCTAGACTTAACAGATTACTGTGTTATTTCATCAAAGTAACAATATTTACTACCAAATCTGTCATCGATCTAGAATATTGTCATTATGCTTCAAAGACAGTTTCATTCCTGTCTCAACTTACACGTAGAGTGTAAATTTCTCTAAATGTATATATTTGCCCTAACCCTAACAAAATTTAGAGTCGCCCCAGCTTCTGGTAATCCAAATCAGAAGCTGACGCGTCTGTAAATTTTTACTGGGACTGGACTCTCACCTCTGCTGGGAAGCGCGTTCCGTTGATGGTGTGCTCGGAGCCTTTGTCATCCTGGTCGCCGAAGTGCAGTTGGACTTGCGCAACCTGTCCATATATAAATTACTCGTTGTATTATTTCATTGATGATTTGGCGATTTTTTATTTTATTACTAATCGACAATGAAACGAAAATTGGCAAGCAGTATTGCCTTCTCATTCTGAGTAATTCCAATAGCTTTGAGCAACATGACCACAATATGCATCCTGACTCATGAACATTTTAAACTTTATTTCATATAATATTATTTCTATTCAAATCTAGTCAGCGAAGCTTTTGATAGAACAAGAAATAGAAAAACACAAGAAATAGAAAAAACTTGTAAATCACATCGCATCCGTATTCATCATTTAGTTCATTATAGCAAATAATAAATAGAAAAATAGATAAAGAGCGAGCTAACCTAATAGAAAACTTATGATCTTTATAAACCTATTAACAGGCAGTACAGTTCGTAATTCAAGTATCAATAAATCTTTCCTGTCAAAGGCTTTGTTATCTGTGAACAAGTCACGAAAACTACATGAATCGACTACAGGCCTAAACAGGCCTATATTTCTGCAACGCCAAAGATGCTATGCTTTGCTACGCTAGGCAATGCTATGCTATGCTATGCTTTACTATGCTATGCTATGTTATGCTATGCTTTGCTATGCTATGCTATGCCATGCTATGCTATGCTATGCTATGTTATGCTATGCTATGCTATGCTTTGCTATGCTATGCTATGCTAGCATCCGTATTCATCATTTAGTTCGTTATAGCAAATAATAAAAAGAAAAATAGATAAGAAGCGAGATAACCTAATAGAAAACTAATGATCTTTATAAACCTATTAACAAGCAGTAAGTACAGTGCATAATTCAAGTATCAATAAATCTTTCCTGTCAAAAGGCCAGTTTTAGATCTGTGAACAAGTCACGAAAACTACATGAATCGACTACAGGCCTAAACAGGCCTATTTCTGCAACGCCAAAGATGCTATGCTTTGCTATGCTATGCTATGCTATGCTATGCTATGCTATGCTATACTATGCTATGCTATGCTATGCTAAGCTATGCTATGCTATGCTATGCTATGCTATGTTATGCTATGCTATGTTATTATCATATTTCTAGGTGCCACTCACCTGGTATCGATATGACAGCGGACCGCCAGTGATGTTAAGGACCGCCTGCTTGGGCGAGCTGAAGTCAGACATCCCACCGAAAAGTTGACCATCGTCGGCCATCATTTGATTAGGCTCGTTGATATCATTACTATCATCGTAGCCATGATTACGATCATGCTCAGCTGTAATAGCTGCTATGTTCGAGGTGGTGTTTTCGGTATTTTCAAATTTATCAAATTTATTCAGGTTTTTTATCGAGTCATCTTCAATATTTTTCTTTGATTTTATACCTTTATTTATATGGTAATAACGCTTAGATTTGGAAGTGCCCTCGTATTCTTTTTGGTTGTGCCATTCTGTTAGTTTTCTCTTGTGCATAACATCAATAAGGTCATTATTTTGATCAACATCTGCAATAATACCTTCAGAACCATCTATGTCATAACTGTCTTCTTGGCTCCCATATGTAGTGCTATTATAATGCATTTCCATTCTTGACGCAGAATTTTTCAAATTCTGATTTTGGTCTGCGAAATTACTGAAGCCTCCGAAGGAATCTATATTCCAGGTATTGGAATAAATTGCATTGCCATATAAATTACTGCCTACATCTCTTTTCCGTATTAACTTTGCGTGTATTTCATTCTGTGAGGACATCGAAGTTAGAGAATTATCAGGAGCACCAACTTTTATTTTTACGTCGTTAACGGCATTTAAATTCATAGAAATTTTTTTGACAGATGAATTATTATTAATTTTGATCTTGGTTTTGTTATTAGAGCTTTGATCATTAAATTGCTCGCGCGTCCTGCCGTCAAACCTAACATTTTCCGCTCTTTGTGAACTTTGCTTCCGAGTCGTCGACGACTTTTTTGAAAGTTTTTTCGTCTTCTTCTTAGACTTCCTATGTGTTTTGGTTCCTTTTCTTTGTTTTCCTTTCTCACCCGTGCCTCTCTTCCTCCTCTTTCCCCCATCCTGGCCTCCGTACCCTCGCATTTGGGTTACTTGTTTCTGCCCCACCGGCCTGGTCCACAAGGGAGGTCCTTCCCCATCTAGGGTGAACACCACCCCATGACCTGTGTTGTTCAGCGTGCCACTCACCTAGAAATGGGGATATATAAATATTTTATTATTATTGTTTCGTAAAAATTCAATTACAGTTAAACATGTAAATTACCGTATAATGAAGACTGTGAAAGAACATAAATTTGTGACGACTATTAGAAAAATACCACAGTTCTTTTATATCATAATTTTCAATTTGGTTAATTTTCCTAAAATTTATTGATTGAACGTGAATAGCAAATAATTCTTAATGACTTTTTGAACGTCACTATGGGCCTATTTTATCATTAGCCTCAAATATAAGATCGAAAATGATCCTTTCACTTTCAAATTTAAAAAAATTCACTACTAAATTAAATTCTGTTCACAACTTTGCTATGCTGCATTATCGTAACATTTGAAAATGCTGTTTTGACGCGAAAAACTGTATTAATTTTAATATGGTAATAAATTATGAAATTCAATTTTCAATTAGAAAGTTGACTAGAATATTCCTTCAAATTAGATCGCATTTTTTTGCGACTCCACTCCACTCCATAGATCGCACAACATGGAAATTCCTGAAAAAATGTATCATTACTTTCCGAAAACTTGTATGAAATTAAAGTTTGATAATGTCTGAAAAGATATTGTACTATTAGTCTTCAAATACATGCAGAAAATTGTTGTTCTGTATCAGTTTTTTTTCTTGACGTAGGTAATGACGATATATTTTTGCGTTTGTTTTTTAATTTAAACTGACACGCCTCAGGTCAGTTCACTGCGTATTACAACGGTAAGTAGTAATACGCATTAATATTACTACGGTAGGTATATTCGCATTTGAAAACAGCGAATTCGGATGTTCATTACCTGTAAATCATTTTTCTATAACTATATTGTAAATTATTTTCTATTTTCATCACCTACGTAACTTCAACAATTTTTTTTATGTTCTTATGACTTAAATTTGATTCAATTAACAAGAAATACAAATTTGGTGACCCTCCATAATTGCTTTGCGCATCCAGTGCCCCGATCACGCTGGAGCGGACGACCACGGTCCTGTTTCTGGATCTCCCACCGCATCTCCACAAGAAAAAAATCCTGCTTGACTATAATGGGAAACTGTCAATGAGTGGGAAAACTCCCGAGTTCAGGGCATGAATGCCGGCACTTTTCGCCGACCCTCGGGGAGTACAAATAACAACTGAGGGCTCGGAGAGGCAAAAAATTCTGCAACGACTGAAAGACGTACGTGCTGGAGATGCTCCATGAACGAACGAAGTTCTTGTGTGACGTAAGATATCTGTGCATTAGTTATTTATTAAAAATGCATGCACTGAAAACAATTATGTGTGTTTTGCATGTGAGTGTGCATTGAACGTATTAAAAACACGCTCTGTACAACTAGCCCTTTCATTGCGACCTGCAGTAACATACTCGTGATTTAACTATTCGGTAAACTATAACTATAGATTGCAATTTCCTGCAACTGAACGTAAGCACATTATTTATTTCTCTATCCATCACTCCCCTTATAAATGCTTTTTATTTCAAGTAAAAGCATCTTGCTTCTATACGCAACTCTCCTTCCCCTCTTCACTCTCCCTCTTCACTCTCCCTCACATTCGTCACCGGTTCTACTTTAATAGTCCCTCGTGCCCTCTGCGTGGCGCGAGTGCACTTAAACATCATCAACTCTTAACGCTCGACTTACACTAAGTTTTATGAATCATAATTTCTTATGTTGACAATTTGAACTCAATTCTGCGACCCATATTAACCATGGCCTCAAAATGTAAATATTTTATGAGTTACAACATTCACATAGATAATAGAGCATGATTATTTTCGTTATTTTATAATGGTTGATAACTTCATCATAAAATTCATCGATCATCAAAAATAAATACGATAAAAATACAATAAAAATACGATAAAAATAAATACGACGGTCAAATGTTTGCACATCGTATTCAGCGTGCTATTTCTACTCCTTTGTAAAAACATAAACCTTTTTTGCTAAGATTTCTCATCAAAATAATGTACTCACGACTAATTCATTGTTAATACTCAGCTCGCATATTCAAGAACTCAAGTCATCATCATCCATGAATTGCAAATTTGTACCTCAGATTAAAATATAAATGATCGCCGAATTATGCTCCCTGTGTTCCATTTAATCAGGTAACTTCGGATCCATGAATTAGAAGACCCGAGTTTATTGTAGAATTTTCGCTGAAAATGATTCGCTTCTGTGAATTTTATTCGAGCTTTGTACGTTTGAAATTTCTTTAGCCGTGGTAACTTCGGATCTATGAAGTTTATTATTGCGTTTATTGTAGAATTAAAGCTTCTCTCAATAAACGCACCTAATTTGAGCGACACGCAAAAGCTCTCAGGTGAAGGTTGCCCCGTACGATGCGACGCTTTGCTACGCCGTGTTTTTCTTGCCCGGGAAAATATATTAATGTACGCGCCATACGTACAGCGTCGACGATTTTATTACGTGTAAAGAAATTTCAGGGAAAATTAATCAGTATAACTCTGTGATTGAATTTGTTATCAAGGAATTTAAAAGAAAAAAACTGCAAGCATATTCATCGTATCGATATTGAAAACGTTTCGGAGTCCAGCTCTATCGTCAGTTCGACAAACTAAAAATGAATACAATCATTTTATAATTCAAAATTCGAAGTCAGATAAAAATACATCAAAGTCAGATAAAAAAATCATTTTATAATTCAAAATTCGAAGTCAGATATTAAAACCTAATAAGACCTAAAAGACAAAACAACCTTAAATCGAAAACCAGTACTCGCGGAACACAGAGTCATAGAAACCACAAAAAGCTTAAAACTTAAGAAAAAAAAAGTTTTCAAATTTTAAACTTTTCGTGTCTCCTACTGGTTTTCGATTTAAGGTTGATTTGTGTTTTAGGTCTTATTTTAGGTTTAAATGTCTGACTTAGAATTTTGAATTATAAAATGATTGTATTCATTTTTATTTTGTCGAACTGATGATGGAGCTGGACTCGGAAACGTTTTCAATATCGATATGATGAATTTTCTTGGCGTTTTCTTTGCTTTTAAATTCCTTGTGAACTTGCGATATAAGCAGATTGATAATATAAGTACTTGAATTTGTTGTGCTATAGTATGACAAAATAAATAGTTTCAATAATCTTGATAATTGGAAAGCCTTAGATTAATAATATGGGATGCCGTTGAACTCTATTCTCACCATAAGAGTTTAACTGAAGAGAATCTCCAATAAATAACCATGTGATATTTTATATAAAAATGAATAAAAAAATACAAATATAGATCCAATTAATGCAGATTAATATGGCAAGGTTGCCTTTACAGTTGTGGCACTCCAAATAGAAGGAGTGCACAGAGAAGCGCAGTATTAGAACGTTAAAAATGAATACGATGATGAAATAATTGATGTTAATAAGTGGTAAGTTCTGCGGTGGTAACAAACTTTTAGATTTACGTATATAATATATTTTTATATTTACGTAGAATTGCTGAACAGCGGTCGGGGCTGCAGTACAAGCGCATGCTGCTGGGTCAGAGTAACAGTGCTTACGGTGCTACTGTAGTAAATGCGTAGCAGTGAAGTAGCAGCAAAAGTGTAGCAGTGAGGTAGCAGTAAAAAGTAGCAGTGCTAAAAAATTTTTTTTTGTAAATTTTCTACAAAAATTTCAAAAAAGGCCCTTCGAAGCACAAGATACCGGACATGAATTGCAAGGCGTATTAAATAAGATACATTCACCTGCACCAAGACGGACACGACGACTACGCCGTGCGCTCGCGCCGCCGCGTCGCTCGAGTTCCTGAAGAGCTGAGAGTTGAAAGCCAAGATCTGGACCTGAACAATAAAACATCGTTGAATACAATGAAATTTAAATGAAAAGTGAGTAAAGAAAATTACAATGAAAAAATTCATGGTATTTCATATTTGTTGTATAACTTTATAGTGAATCCATTCGAAATTCTTCAGCTTTGAAATTCCGCAACTACCTAGTTCTGTCAGAGCCTTAATGCGATTAAATTAGGCGCTATAAAATACAAAGGGAAATGAAACAAATTGGTTTTAGTTCGTACAATTAGAGAAATGTAATTAGCGCTATCTAAAGTTGATAGGACTACTTTGTATGTGCATCATCACAAAAGTTTTCTTGATAACTAGTGTATAATTTGTCGATTTTCATTTCACATTCTGCAAGTAGAGTTTCAAAAAATATAACTCGGTACTCACTGCAGTGAGTGACAGAGAGCGCATTTTCTCGTCGACGAAAACTTGAGGTCACGGACAGACGGACAGACAGACAGACAGACAGACAGACGGACGGACATGGCGAGCACAATAGTGCATTTTTTCCATAATTGAGAAAATGCGCTAAAAACGGATTGATAAAAACACAAACCTACATAAAAAACTCAAGTATTACTAATTCCTATACAATTGATTGATATGCTTATCACTGAGCCAAGAACAGTGAATAACGTCATTAGTGTTCTGACCTTCAGTCAGGTAATAATACACTTTATTATCTTATTGAAATTTGATAGTAAATTCTTAGTTTCGATGTCGCTCAAGAATTTCATTTAAATTAAGTAACATTCATATTAATGCGTGCGAAATGAAGCAACTCACCTATTCCCCCCTACGCGGCTTTCGGAAATCATCCTGATTTTCGGGAATTACCTTCCATCGCTGGACAATTTACAATACCTACGACAGAAAAAAAAACCGTAAAATCATTCACAATGATTTGATTCCAATGATTCATTGAATTAACTGGCATTATTATTCCCTAAAATATTTAATAATAGTTATATTTAAATAAAATGTATAAAAAAATTTTTAAAGACCACGTTTTTCATGTGGACTCAAAAGTAGAAAATAATTTTTCGGCAGCT